CTCTCTCTGCTTCTTCCTCGTTTGAAAAGAAAAACGGCTAGGTATATCTCTCCACTCGGATCTTTTTTCCATTCTACATATATATATATATATATAGAAAATACGATTGGTAGTAGTATAAAAGTCTTAACCTTTTAATTTAACAGCGAGTCGAGCTCGTTGGTAAATTGAAGATCTGAATTGGCTTGAAAATGTCCTTGGGAGATTACGAAAGTGCGCAGCGCGCGACAATGATCGCATTCCTTTTCAAGAGTGGCGGAATAACGCAGAAAAGCTCCGGGGATCAAACAATAAGGCCTCGAATCGTCGTCGTCGTCGTCATCGCGCCACGATTTATTTTTGAATGCAATAGTGAATTATCCTCTCGATTGATCTCGTCTATAATGGAAATGACTGTCGCCACAGACACGCGAATGTGTGTGCAGATCGAGTGGCCTATAACACAGTGCGCACACTAGAGTATAAGCAATCCTCGAGAGCAACGTATCCAATAAATAGCCTAAGTGAGACACGGTTTGAAGAAGAAAAAAAAGGAGAAGAAGGAAATGTAAGATGTGACTGTTGTACGGTGCCACACATAGTAGTACAGAAGTAGGAAGGACGAAGGAAGAAGTAGTTTGGTTTGTACACGTACGCGTGCGCCTCAGCTCAGCCCTCGCTAGTCGGTGCTCCACACCCCCTACACACACATATACACACTCTACGTACATACGTATAGCAACGACTAGCGCACAGTTGAAATTGTAAAGTAAAGAATAGAGCCGGAGCAGCAGTACACCGAGTACGAGCGAAGAATGCTTTCAACGGTTCATTTGGCCTACAACGAGCGCGCGTGTGCTGCCAATAGCTATGCTGCGCTCCCGAGTAAAAGAGAGTATACAGCCTGTAACTATTCGTTTCTCAAGGGCCTGTACTTAGAATTCTCCGTTTTTTTCCTTTCTCTCTCTCTCTCTCTCTCTTGCTCTCCTGCGTCAAGGTATTGATACGCACGCACATATATACGAATTACGAATTCGAGAATCTCTCGTTTATATTATACACCACTTCTATTTTCATTCGAAGCGACAATTGCGCGCGCGCTGCGTATTTGGGTACGTGTAATGAACACGATTCACGCGTGCTTACAGACAATAATAATAATAATCATAATAATAATGTCACGCGCGTACGCAGCCAATTTCCGAAAATTTTGTCCATCGTTTTATATTAAAGCCTCTCTGTCTCTCATTGTCCTGCTCTTATTTAAGCAGCTAATACAATACTCGCCATGCCGTGTATAAGAGTGCGCACGAACAATGACAGCGAAAAGCGAGTAGTGGCAATAGCAGTCGTCGTCCTCTATATACACTCATGGCAATCGGAGCGCAGATACGCGCCAGAGCATCGCGTCATAAATGCAACTCACAAAAGGGATGCGCGCTTGTTATATGAATGTATATTACGCACGTATAGGTACCTACGCACTAACGCATCCTCCGTTGCCCGTTGAGAGCTATAAGAGGCGAACATCGAGAGGATTTCGAATTCTCGCGTTATACTCTTCTCTCGTGCGCTACTGCTGCTACGTTACTGTTCTCGGTTTCTGTTGCTGCTGCTGATGCTGATTTTGTAAATATAACATTACACAGTTCAGCGTTGAAACAATTCAGCACACGGATCGTTACAATAAAAGGAAGAAGAGCTGCCTGGCGAAACAACGACAATGAGCGTGAAATTCGCTTGTTGGGAATATATATATACGAGAGATATGAAAGAGTATAGCTAACTTCTTTTTTTCTGTGAGCTTTTACTCCAAGCTTGGTACAGTTTTTGTATATTTATTCGAGAACGGCTGAAAAAATTAATACGTCCGTCCGTAAATTATTTTTAGGAAATCGTGCGCGCGAAACAATGAATGCTCACGATGTAGTGTACGCGCTCGTGTGTCGAAAAGCAAATTCTTTTGCTCTTTGTTTTATTTCTACCTATATCTACATATCGGCGTCATTTATCGTCGATTTCCGTGAAAGGAGGCAATCGCTTGCCGATGGGAAAAGTTTCTCGACTGACTGCTGCCGCTGCTGCTGCTGCTGCTAGCATCGATAGGCGTGAACGACTGCGAGAGCTGAGCCCACAGCTGCCGCGCGCGACGCGTCTTGCGGCGCGGCAAATCCAAACGCGCGGGATTTTAAAGCACATACACACACAGACAGGCAGCAAACACGCGCGAATGCGAAAAGGGAGAGATACGGGGATTTTTCTTTCTCGCGGAGAGAGAACCTTGACAGGCCTGCACATTCCAAATAAAGCCGACGTCGTCGTCGCATCTAAAAAAGAAACGAGCAAATAAATACATGTGTGGGTATGTGTGTGTGTGTGTGTGAGCCTCCGAGAGTGCAAATGTGGCGATTGCTCGCGAGCTGCTGCGCGCTTACACATTTCCTAGAAATGCCTCGTGCGAATATGTGTCTGCTGTGTGTGTATGTGCGCGGATACAGTAGAGAGAAGAGGTTTTGTCACCGACACAACGCAAAACTGTCCGATGCAGGAGAATGTGCCTGGACTTTCTCTCCGTACTCTATTATACACAGCTCGCTCGCGTGTGTAGATACGTATATAATATTATATATATATTTTATGATGCATGCCGTCGCCGAGCGACGAGCTAGACGACGACGCCACACTGCTTCTCTCTCTCTCTCTCTTTCTGCAGCAGCAGCAGCAGCAGCGAGTCGACTCTAAAGTGAGCGAGAGAGAGAAAACGAGGACCCATCAGCACCAGAACCGCACCGCGCACAAGGATATCTCCCAAGATACGAGAGTGAGCGCAGCGCAGCGCGTCTTATTGTTATCACTCAGCTGATGACAACAATTTTTTCTCCTGTTCTCTCTCTCTCTCCCCTATCTCTTTATAGTCTCCGTGTGCCATGCGCAGTGGTGCATTTGAATGATATTGGCATGTAAATTTCGAGGAGTAGGTGAAGAGTAAAAAATATATGTAGAGGCTGAAATATTTAGGAGCTTGTGTCGATAGCGTTCTCTATAAATCAGTCGAGTTTTTGCAAGTATCACCACTACAACTAGCGTATGTATAATTTTAGTCGAGAGCTAGCCCGTGTAGTTTCACGAATTTTCTGAATTTCGATTCTCGTTGCGTTTCGTAGAAATCGTATATTATATACGTTACATACTCCACAAGCATGGAAAGGTCGTGTAGCGGCAGCAGCAATTTTATCGCGAAATGTAATATCGAAAGCCGGAGAGAGAGAGAGGGCATTTATATACATATACAGCGCGCCAGAAGTGAATCGGAAGCGGGTCAATCGCAGAAACGTGATTTGGAATTGGAAACAATGTTCTCCCCGCGCGCGCGTAAAAAGCAATTAACCGCAGCTCCAGTCGCCACGCGGCTACAAAAATCTGTATTTAAAGAGCGAGACAGCGGCTGGGAAGAAAGTGACGTTTAAATTAAAAACAAAAAATACGAGAAGAAGAAGGCGGGAAAACATATAGTTTGATACGTCTCGCTCTGCGAAGGAAAATTCACACGTGTTAAGCCGGTGTACGTGTCGGGAAAAGACGGAATACCAAGAGACGCATGTGTACGACACATGCACACACATTTACACACGCGAGAAGTTTATAATTTTCTGTATCAAAGAGATGTAAAATAATGAACCAGAAGGTGTTGGTGCACAGGTCGTTAAGTGGGTATGTTATATCTCACCCGCGCGTGTGTGTATATGTACGCGGCGTGCAGGGTATAAGATTTTCGCGATTTCGTGCACGTCGTCGTCTACGTTGCCTAGTGTACAGCACACATGTACAAACACACAGCACACAGCCATGCGGGACGGAGCAGCAGCAGCTCCGGTGTAAGAGAGCATCGCACGAATTTAATTTCGCTTTGAGCGACGTTGACGAGGTAAGCGTAAAGTGTAATGCGCGCAATGCCTGCTGTATAGCGCAGTATAACAGCGAGCCTCGGTCCACCCCCGCCTCCCCCTTGGCTGTATGTGTGTGTGCTACTCGACTCCGTGCACATATATATATATATATATATATACATAGGGTAGGTGCTGCAGCTTGCACGCATCGAGTTTACTGGTGCACTACTATGCCACCACACTATACCAGTAGTACTATACTACACTAGGTTGCTGCGTTAGCGAGCTTCAATCGATACGCGTCTCGTCGTCTCTATATGTGTGTGCGCGATAACGTTATATCAGTATTGGTGTACATCTCTCTCTCTACATGCGCACGTGCACGTGTGCAAGTGTGTGTATCCAAGCCTATACAGGCTGCCAACAATGTATGCAGCGCGAGAGAAAGAGCGAGAGTTAGGCCTCGAGGGAGAAGAGAGAGGAAAAAAAAGCAAGAAAAAAAAAGGAGGAGGAGAGGAACGACGCGAAGCCATGAAGCTTAGAAACACGATGGTATCTGCATGCGCGCATGCCTCCGACGCTGCTACAAACACACTCGCATTTTCTCGAAGGAAAATGTCCCTAGCTCTTTTGCTTTTGCAGCAGCGAGCGTATAAGCGTATAACGTACATTATATATATGTAGAGAGAGTAGATGCTGCTGCTGCTGCGTGTTGTGTTGCTTGCGCTGCTGCTGCTGCTACTCGAGCTGCTTATCGGTTCGAACGTTTTCTCTCTTACGCTGCATGCAGCGCGCATATTCCGTGCGCGCTTGTGCGAATAATGGGTATAAACAAGAGATTTCTAAAGCTTTTTGGATATTCACGATTGCCGATTTAGATTTTCCCTCCCTGTATTATACGCAGTGCGTGCGCGCGCCTAAACACAGAGCGTTGCGCGTAATACATTTTTAAACCGTAATGCTCTTGCGAATTAACGATAAATTTATATGCACGTAAACGCAAAATATTTTCAAATCGATTCATTTTATACTTATAGTACAATACGAATTCTAACGAAAACTGCTTTATTTTTATCGCTCGTACGTACCTTCCCGCTTTCGTACTAAACGCAATCGTTTGTTTTTATGTTGCAGGTATGCATCGATCGAGAAAGTATTGTTATTATTTATGAAAAAGCCCCGACAACAAAACTGAGTGGACGCAAAATCATCATCGATATCTCCAATCGTATAATATAAATCGAGCGAGGCAGAGAGAAACGAGCGCGAGCTCGTAAAAGTTGGACCACCACCGACAAGCGCCACTTGTGAGTGCGTGACCGGATCATAATCAAAATAGATCGGTTTGTTTGCGCGCGATTTTGTGGCGCGGAGCATCTCGCCTCGTAAACGTTGCACGCTGTCGTTTTTTTTTTTTTTTTTTTTTTTTTTTTTTTTNTGCACGCTGTCTTTTTTTTTTTTTTTTTATTATTTTGTTTTTACCGCGCATTCAGTTGAATTCTAATCGTTCGAAAACCGTTGTTCCCGATAACCGGCTAGACAGCTCAAAATGGCTAGTACAGCATTGGCAGTGTTTTTTGTCTTCGTGGGCTGCTGCTCGAATCTGGTCTTTCTCGAGCTGTTGACGAAGGAAGACCCGGGCAGCGGTAATCTCATCACCTTCTGCCAGTTTCTCTTCATATCCCTCGAGGGTGTGATCTTCACCTGGAAATTCGGCCGAGCTCAACGAACCATCGAGATCAAGAGCTACATGGCCCTCGTCACCATGTTCTTCGTCTCGAGCGTGCTCAACAATTACGCCTTCGACTTCAAGGTACCCATGCCACTGCACATGATATTTCGCGCCGGTGCCCTCATCGCCAACATGATCATGGGCATCGTCATACTGAAGCGAAGGTATCGCTCCGACAAGTACAGCTCGGTCCTGCTGATAACCATCGGCATCTGCCTGTGCACCATTATGAGCGGCAAAGAGATGCACGAAGAGGTGGCGGCCAAGAACAATATCGACGGTTTGAACGACCTTTTCTGGCTGGCGGTAGGAATCCTCCTGTTGACCGTTGCCCTCCTGATTTCCGCCAGGATGGGCATCTATCAGGAATATCTGTACGCTCGATTCGGCAAACATCCTCGAGAGGCTCTGTTCTACACTCACCTTCTGCCGCTGCCCTTCTTTTTCCTATTGTGGTCGAATTTGTGGGATCACGCGATCATAGCCGCCAACTCGCCGACCATCCAACTGCCTCTCGTGGGCCTCGCGATGCCGAGAATGGTAGCCTACCTGATCGGCAACGTACTCACGCAGTACCTGTGCATCAGTTCGGTCTTCGTGCTGACGACCGAGTGCACCTCGCTCACCGTCACCCTCATTCTGACTCTGCGCAAGTTCTCGTCCCTCATCTTTTCCATCGTCTACTTTCGGAACCCGTTCACCTATTATCACTGGATGGGTACGGCTTTCGTTTTTCTCGGCACCCTCGTGTTTACCGAGGTCATTCAGAAATTTCGCAAGACGATGAGAGATCGCAGGAGGCAGCGCAGAAAATTAGCGATTGATTAATTTTAAATTGTTTATATGGATTATGAGTAAGTATTATTATTGATCATTGAGGAAAGGCAGAGGACCAAGTTGCTGTGAGCAATATTAAAATAATTGTTAACTGTGATTTAACAAGAAATTTTTATTTATTGTATTTTTTACCCACCTAAACAATTGTAAATTGTATACGAACAAAAAAAAATGAGGTTGCATTCGACAATATACCAATACATACATGAAAAGTTGTACGGAAATGTTTTAAAACGAGTTTTTCTTATTTGATAAAAAGTCCAAGCTGTTTCTTTTTCTATCCCACACACAGACACAGACGTAAAACGTGCTACGCCGCGATGAGAAGCCGTAAAAGGCGATACGAGCGCCGCTACTGCGTACCTATTGGCGTTAAAGAGCGTTACATATCGGAAGTTCGAAAAAAAGAGAATCTCGTAATTTATCAAAAAGAACGCGTATAAACCAAAGCTGACATCGTACTTCGGGGACACACATATATACATATATGGCACTTTCTAACGCTTTTCGCGCGCGCCACGTACTACCGTACTAAATTATTTTTCGAGGCTCGTATATTAAGCGCTAGAGACGCTTATAAAGGTTCAAAGGTTGCTGCTGTTATCTTACGTGAACTTGCGGTGGGTGCTCGGCAGCAGCAGCAGCAGCCGCAGCAGCTGTTCATTAAGATTTAAAGAGTATATATATAAGCTTAAAGACTCGCGGGCAATTTAGCTTTTCCCGGCAGTCGCGCGAGGATCGTAAATTAACGACAGCGCGGCTACTTTTCTGGACATTAGCCCGCGTACTACTAATACTCATACTCGTTTTCCAAGATTTTCGAATTAATTTAGGCTTAGCGCGACGACGATTCATTCGTTTTTCATTCGGAAATTACTGTACACGGTAATATAAATTGTGTATTCCGAAATGATGATCATTTACGGCGATGTAACTTTTTGCCTTGACGCGCGCAGAGCGTAATTATCATTCCTTCTCTCCTCGATGTTGTTACTATATAGACGGTAGACGACGAATGACTGCCTGTGTGTCTGTACTACGCTTTTGCGCGTTTATATTTTGCCGTCGTCTCGGTTCGTATCTATGTGCAGCATAACGAAGGTTTGTAAATTCGAGCAGCGCAGCAGCAGCAGCAGCAGCAGCAGCAGCAGCCAAAGGTAGACTTGAAAGAGACGTATAGAAGAACGAGTAGCGAGTAGAGACTGAGACGCGCTACTTGTTAGGATCAACTCGTGCGATTAATTAGTGTCAGCGGCTATTTACACCGACGCTCGAAGTATATACCAGCGAGCGCATCGAAAAGAGAGGTAGAGAGAAGCATATTTTGCCAGCCAAAGCAAAGCAGGTTGAGACTTCTTGTCTATAACGTAGTACATTTACACACACACACAAAGATGCATACACCTATACACTTTGATGTCATGGTAATGGAGTAAATCTCTTCAAGTGTGTGTGTGTGTGTATACGTATATACTGTAGTCTCTAGGATAAGAATCAAACGACTTCCGGGTTGGTCATGCAAATTATATTCGCCGGTACACGAGCCCGAGTGCGCCCCCATAGACTTTCGTTTTAACTTCTCTCCTTTTTCTTTTCTTTTTTCTTATTTTTTTCGGCGCTCACCCACCCACGCGCACTATTGCCGCCCTATTTACGTAATGCATATAGGAAAGAAAAAAAATTCTTTTCCTATTTTTCTTTTCTTTTTTCTTTTCTTTTTTTTCGGTTCGTCGCAAGCCCAACGTCGCTCGGTCGTCGTCGTCGCGTGCAGACTTGAAATTATGCTAATTCCGTAATACACATCGTGTACGGTATGAGTACCAGAGAACGCGACGCGCGCGAGTCGTATAGTATACGCGACGCGGCTAATGACACACGACGTATGTATATTGCCCGCGCAATGCACGGGCGCGAGCGAGCGAGCGAACTACCGGTATATATGTACGTAGGGAACGTTAGCTCGTACGCCTATCACGGCTAATCTGAATTTTATACGAAACGACGACGACGACGAGAGCTGAATTGGCTATTTTTGACGGCTTCCAGCAACAATTTTTCCCGTCGCTCGCGCGTAGAGGCGCAGAAAATGAAATAAAAAATAACGAGTTGTAGTATAGTAACGATCCTGCGACGACGACGACGACGACGACAAAAAAAATTTTATTTTTCGGAAAGTTGTATTTACATCGATACTTGAATGTTTCTTTTTATTTTTTTTGTTCACAAAGTTCATCGAAAAGTTGAAAATTTTCATCGCAACGTGTAGGATATACATTTCACGATACATATACACAATCATCTCACTGATTGTAATTGATTGTATTTTGATGGCCCGAGCCGCCTGTGATACATATATACGCGTGCGAAACTACGTACATATAACGTATTACGGAAACGACACGGGCGTACGTGCATACAACCTCGTGCGCTGCGCTGCACTGCAAGCGAACGAGCGATTTTACAGAAGCGATAATGCTGATGGATCTATTTCGCAAAAGTCATTTACTTCCTCTTCACCCACTCTTTTCCTTGTCTCTCTCTTTGTACATATGAGCGCGTCCAGCATAAGTCGGCCACCCCGCGCGATTACGGCATTTTTGGCCGAAAGTGTCGTATGTTTAGCTCGCTCGGAAACGTTTACCAAGGGTCAGAAAAAAAATCCAAACCCATGGATCGATAGATTTTTTCCTCCTCTTTCTAGTGGTGTAACTCAAAAAATTCTTAAAAATTGATTTTGAGGTTAAAACTCGACTTGAATGTTTAAGTCGATTTATCCAAAAAATGTATCCTCCGATTTCAAAATAAACTGCACCAATCGAAAGAGGAGGCAAAAATCTATCGAAAACCATGTTTTCCAGGATGGAGAAATGATAAGAAGTATTAAAGATATCGAGATGAATAGCGCGGGACGGCGCGCGCGGACCTGTTTTCCGTGCGCCAGCGGCGGCACACACGCGGCGCCGTGTCTTTGTTTTTTCGACTCCCTTGTAATCGCTTAAAAAGGGCTGGAAAAATAATGTTAACACGTAAATCGATAGATTTTTTTCTCTTCTTTCTGATGGTGTTATTGAAAAAATTCCCAAAAATTTTTTTCATAGTCAAAACTTGACTTGAATTTTTAAGTCAATATTTCTTCTAGTATTTCAATTTTGACCTCAAAATTAACATTACCAATCGAAAGAAGAGGAAAAAATCTATCGATTTACGTGTTTAAATTATTTTTCCAGCATTTTTTTAGCGAGTCGAAAAGACATAGGCAGGAAAACAGGTCCGCGCGCGCCGTCCCGCGCTATTCATCTCGATATCTTTAATACTTCTTATCATTTCTCCATCCTGGAAAACATCGTTTCCGATAGATTTTTGCCTCCTCTTTCGATTGGTGCAGTTTAAATTGCAATCGGAGGATACATTTTTTGGGAAAATGGACTTAAACATTCAAGTCGAGTTTTAACCTCAAAATCAATTTTTAAGAATTTTTTGAGTTACACCACTAGAAAAAGGAGGAAAAAATCTATCGATCCATGGGTTTGGATTTTTTTTCTGACCCTTGGTAAACGTTTCCGAGCGAGCTAAACATACGACACTTTCGGCCAAAAATGCCGTAATCGCGCGGGGTGGCCGACTTATGCTGGACGCGCTCATATATGCATCAGGCCTGCTATACGTATACGCGGGGCTTATTAGTTGCGCATTGCATTCGGTGTATACATACGCGCCCGTGTATTATTATTATACATACGTAGGTATACCTTTGTTAACTAACGACTCTCTCTCTCTCTCTCTCTCTGTCTGCCAGAGCTCTAGGCTCTCTCGGCTTTGCCCTATGCACGCGCTTATTCTAGGTCTGCTGGCAAGTCGAACAAGTTCCTTACGGGAAAATTAGACAAGCAATTTGAATGGCTGGTAAACCAAGACCGATGCGAAATAGTGTATAGTGGTAGTGCTGCGCGCGACATAGAAGCGCTAACTAAAGCTGCACTTTGCCGCTGCACGAGCCGCGCTATATACATACACGTAAAGGCCGCACTCGCGTTATGAGGAAATCGAGCAACTCGTATACGTACACACACGCGTGAGCGTAGGTCGTTGCGTGTATACTACTATACATACGAGCTTGTTATAGTTCGACCAGCTTCTGATTAGGAACTGTAAACGACTAATGGCAAAATTTATTCGCAATTATGTTATGGCTTTTGGTCTTTATTTAATTATACAGCGCACGCGTTATACTGCAGGATCGCAATAATAAATTCAACGCACGTTATGATGGTTGTTAAAATGAAATCCCACTTGTGCATACATTATGTGGGTCAATTTTAGTCGCGCTTACTATAAAACGATATGAAAAAATAATAATAGTAATAATCACTTGTCGCGTTACAACTAGATATATAGGGCGTCGTGTGCGCGATGAGCGAATTCGCAATAAAACGTTTAGAGGCGCGCGCGCGCGAGACATCGAAGCTCCCTATTCGGTGCTTGCGAACACACACACACACAGCAAAGCAACGCGAACAAAGCTTCAATTTGTGCCTTTTATACTGTCCCTCTCCTCACCTGTTACATGCGTGCGTCTGACGCGTCTGTGTACGCGTGCGTGCACCATAAAGGCCCGGAGATTAACGGGTTTACTATCGCGTCACAGTTTATATCATTCGCAAGCACAGCTATACTGCCTCGCGCTGCGCCGCGTTAACGATATCCATGCGCATTCGCTCTCCATCCCCGCCGGGGACTCTGTGTACGCGTACACGTATATAGGTATAACAATCGCACACGTTATATACTGTTTATTATCAACTAATGGACGAAAAGATGAGAAATTTGGGACTTCTTGCTCGTCTGCCAGCTCACGTTGCATGTTATGTATATTGCAGCTGCCGGAGGATATACAATATACGGAGAATTATACATCATCATTAGCACGCGCGTATGAGGTATTATACTCGCCGCCCCCCGGCTGCAACTGCGGCTCATGCATCAAAATTTACCGATTTTTATTATACTGCACATGCATGCATACGTTTTAGCATCGTATGTAATATAGAGCTCTCTCGCCTTGTGCTTTTCTCGACGTACCGGACCAGGTCACACATATAACTAATTAAAATTTCGTATTCTTTTGTACATATTATAGTAGTCATAGCGGTATATCCTCTCTCTCTCTCTCTCGCGCGCGCGCGCGAAGCGGGCGACGAAACTTGGCCTGTGGCTCGGTGACGTGCCAGCAGTAGCAGCATGCGGCACCACTGCTGCAACCCTATACACATACATGCAATAAGTGTGTGTGTATACGTATTTAGCCACACATTTTAATTAGCCGCTCAGTTTTGCTTTGTTGTTGCACGCGATGCATCTAAATTTTGTTCTAGCTGGCTCGGTGTCTCTCGCTCGCGTTTTATACCTTGGACCAGTACCTCTGTGTGCGGCTGTGCACACGCCAGTGGCTAGCGCCCAGTAGCTTCTGTCCTCTGTGATACCGCGCAAGAATTTGAATAAATACCACGCGCGCAGATACACACATACATGTACGCGTTGACAAAAGTTGAAGCACGCGTGTTTTTTTGAACGAATTATTATGATATTGCTTTGCGGGCGCATATACATACTGTTACACACACACACTGGACATACACACACGTATACGACTGGAAAGTTGGCTTGACCCATTTGAATATTAATCGTGCGAGTTTCTACCGCGTGTACTGTGCTGCGCCGCGCACCTCTAGCATTGCGTGATTTTTAATGAAATTACCGCCGCCACCGCCTCTCGTTTGATAACCTTTGGGAAAAAGTATGCGCAGGAAGTCGTCCCACATCGTCGTGGAGTGCGTGGAAAATTAGAAATTGATCCTCTTGGAATCTCTCGAGTGACCACTGGAGGATGATCCTCGCCGGTACTTCGCGCGAAGACTCGAGATCAATTTATACGTTCGCATACATAAAGATCATCGTCGTCGTGCGCGGCATCGGGTCTTTGCGTCACCGTGATATACATTCGCTGAGATTTTTTTTACGAAATGACTGTTTTCTAATGAAAAAAAAAAGAAGGACATCAAGTAGAAAGAGAAACGCGCATTACATTAGATTTTTGAGTGGTCATTTAGAAAATCACATTAAAATTATAAGCTCGAACGAGCAATGAAAATTATTGATTGATTCTTTTTCCTCTCTTTCTTTCTTTTTTAGAAAATTACCCGGCATTCAGTAAAATATCGAGAGAAGTGCTCGCGCTCGCCAAATGACAGCGAAAATAATAGCGATTCCCACGAGCTTCAAAGTGCAAGTGTATATAACACACGGGGCCGCGCGTCGCTCGCTTCACACATACCCACACACACACACATACACACGTTTTCTGGCGCAGTAATAATAATAATGATGTGTACGCAACGAGCTAAGCCAAGGCAATTCGTCTCCGGCTCGCATATTATGGTCATTGGCGGTGTTTTACTCTCTCTCTCTTTCTCTCCGACGCGCGCGGGCTTGTTTCTTTTTCCGTAAAGGGGCTCGCGCGCTCGAGCCAATCTCGAGGATTGCACTCGACCCGATGATGCACGCGTGGAACCGCGAGAGCACACATTCTCACACTTTTCGTTAAATGCGTTTGTGTATACTGTACAGTTATACGCGACGCCGTGATGAATATTCTTTGTCGATGGACGTTTTTTTTTTATTTACACGCGTCTCTCTCCCTTTAACAAGTGTGTATGTACGCGTGGCAATAATTTAAGTAAAAATGTCCGTGCTTTGTTTATGAAGCTCGTGAAAAGAGTGAGAAATTCTTTTTTCGTTCTCATCTTTGAGTTTCTTGTATAGAAATAGTACTGTCTGACACCTGTAAAATTTAAATATAAAAAAAACGTAACTCCAAGTAAATTAATGATTTAAATTCATTTTTTAATTCATTTATTTTAATGACATCGAAAAGTTGTACAATTTAATGCATGAACAAAAATACAACCAATATGCTGATTGCCATTACAGATCTTGAATTTCACCCGCCAAGCAAACATTACATAAATCTCTGTTCCTCAACTGTTCCATGATCTGTGAACTGCAGAGATATGGCACTCGATCGCGCGTAAGCTCCATAAAAAATTCCAGCGCCCACTCTAGAAAGAATTTCCTCGTTTGCTTCTCGACCTTGTGCACGACGCAAGCTTCTCCGGGGCTTTTAGCAGCGATGCATACATTTTCAAATTCCTCTGACTCTGAGTCTGATGTTCCCGCCTCTTTGGCCTGCTTCGCGGCGCAACGCGAACACTTGGTTACATCCGACGACATCTTGAACAATCGATACCTGGTGAAAAATTTCACGACGACGAGGGCGCCGCTTTGGTCCAGTTCGTATCCTCTTTTCTTGAGATGTCCGAGGATGTTCAGTGGACAAGACGCCAGTATCATTTTGAACTCGTCCGAAAAATCAATGAACTCGTCCTTGATTACTACGGGAGGAGAAATCTCGGAGGGAAAGGCAAAGTTGGATACATCGGCACCGCTATCCAAGAGGCACGCGACCGTGTACTGAGCGATATTCGCCACGGCCAATTCCAGCGGTGTCCGGCCCCGATTGTCCCGGGCGTCGATCTTCACGGTCTTCTCCATGTCGCCGCAGGCCCTGAAAAATACCCTCGCCAACCAGTCATTGTCGTCCTCTCTCGCGCACATGAAGTGCAGAGGTGTCGATCCTTTATGGTTGATCAGGTTCGGATCGGCGCCTCGCCTCAGCAGCATCTCGGCCAAGACTCTGTCCGCGTACCTCAGTGCCAAGTGTAACGGCGTGTTGCCCGAATTGTCCCGGGCGTTGACCTTGATCGGCTGCTGTTTTTCGTCGTTGATCGCAAAAAAGATCTTGGCCAAGTCGTCGTTGTGTTTGCTCGTGCAAATCAAATGCAGAGGAGTCGATCCGTTCGAGTCGGTCGCATTAGAATCGGCGCCGTTCTTCAACAGCACTTTGGTGGCTGTCTTCAAGCCGTTGGCCGCGGCCAAATGGAGCGGCGTCTGCCCCCACCTGTCCCGGCTATCGACCTCCAACGGAGCCAGAGAAACTGGTCTCATTAACGATGCTTTTATGTCATTCATCGCGACGAATTCCCCCATCAATCCGTCGTCTTCTTTTCTTCCGCATATCATGTGCGCCGGAGTCTGTCCGTACTCGTTGGCGCGATTCGCATCGGCGCCTCGTCTCAGCAGCGCCGCGTACGTCCTCCGGAGTCCGCCTCTCAGTGCGTAGTGCAGCGGTCTGTTGCCCGACTTGTCCAGCGCCTCTACGCACGTCTCCTTCAGGGCCGTCGATGGAAGCATGTCGCAGAATGTATCCGCGTACGAATCGTCGACATCTTTTTGGCAAATGATATGCATGGGTGTCAAGCCCTCCGCGTCGGCTGCCATCGGATCGGCGCCGTGTTCCATCAGCACTCCGATTGGGTTGTCTCTGCCGAAGCTCAGGGACCCCACCTCTGTTTGAGCCACGGCGTAGTGCATCGGCGTCCGGCCTAGATTATCTCGAGCGTCGACTTTCACCCGCGCATACCGCTCGTTGCTGCACTTGAATAATCTCTCCATTTCACGGGCTTGCGACAAAAGTTCACCGTTCTGGCAAATGACGTGCAAAGGGGTACATCCATCTTCGCCGACCGAATTAGGGTCGGCACCGCTTCTCAACAGTAAAGCGGCTACCCTTATGGAGCCGTACTCCAAAGCCAGATGTAGCGGCGAACGAGGGTATTTCTCCTCCGATTCGCACTCGTAGCAATTGGGATCCTGGCCGAGCTCGATGAATTTCTCGACGACGTCCACGCAACCAAACTTACAGGCTGCGTGGAAATGCGTTAGGCCCGAGTCGTCGTAATAATTCACGTCGAAACAGTCGTAAATTGTAAACAGATCCTTGATCACGTTATTCCTACCCTTGAACTCGTTTTTAGCCAGATAATGCAACGGAGTGTTGCGATGCAAAAGTTTCTTGCGGCTGTATTTTTCAACGTCGGGTTTGTCTTTGTACTCGGTTTTGATCAAGAACTCGATGATTTTATCCGCCTGAATCTCGCTGCCATCGAGTTTCAGCGCATCGACGAGGAACAAATCGATTTCTTCCTTTTTAAAAATGTACTGGAGATAAGGAATTGGGCCTCTCAGCTCTTGGATCAAGGCGTAAAATTCATGTAAAAACTTGTGCCGCTTCTCTTCGATTTCCCATTTGACCGATTCTTGTAAGTTCTTCAATCTAAGCAAATTGTTCATGCCATAATTATACTCTAAAGCTTCTTTGGATATAGATTTTTTGGATGAAGGCATTGTTTTAGGCACTCACGCACAAACACAATCGATTGAAATTGAAGATATATTTAATTTTTTTCACAAAAACACTTTCTGCAACTGATGCGATTTTACACTGTTTACACTGCGGCGTCTTATCGCTATTCGTATACGACAATGAACAAATTTGTGTAAGAATATTCACCTGAACAGTCAAACAAGTTGTATATGCGACAAACACGTGGTCGTAAAAGTGGCAGTGTTATAGGTTACTTGTATTACTCAATGATGCGATCTAGCACTGCGTGCGCGATGAAATCTCAAAGTGAACTGACCGGATGCGTTCAATACGATCAATGCGCTAGTCACTTTCTCCGTGAAATTTTGACTACTTGGTGGCGTCTTGAGTAGTAGCATGTGCAGTGTGCACTCGCGTTGTGCGTATGCAAGCGCATCGTCTGCTATAAAGCACGTGTAAACCTTAAATATTATTATATTGTTATTTTTAATAAGTCGGGATTAAAGAAAACGTTGTTTTGCGATAAATATTTTGAAAAACAAAAAAAGTCACGGGACGTCCGATAATTTTCTAAAAATAATTTCGTAACAAAATTAAATGCAGAATTTTAATAAACAGCGTATCAAAATGATTGACAATCGAAAAATTGGGTGAAAAGTAAAAAACTAGAGCCTTCTTCGAAAATCGAATATTTTTTTCTGGTAATTGTTTATAACTTCAAGAATATTATTTCAATATTTTCAATTCTACTTAATTCTTTTTAAATCATATACGCTATTTTGAAAAACGTTGCTTCGAGAAAACAATCGTAGAAAACAACACTTGGTCACAAAAAATAAAAATAAACATTTAATCGGGGAAAAAACCTTTTACAGGTAAATTACGTTATGCAAAGCAAACACATGGGTGTGAAAGTCGGCTCCGAAAACACTAGAACTGTGTGTGCGTGATACAGCCTACTGCGCATTCGTCTGTGCGCGAGTCGCATAGGCGTGCGCGCGATTCATAATTTTCAAAAACTTTGAAAAGGCATGAGAAAATAAAGATATACTCGTGCTTGGGGAGAAATTTACAAAATTTATTATATCCTAATAACCAAAAAAGAATTACATAAAATGTTTTACAATACTTTATAATTAATTAATTTTTCGTTAACAAATTTCTCAGACGCATTTTAAATGACGGAAAATGACGATTTCATTATATTTCAAAAATTCAGACAAGTTTTCAGCCATCTTAAATGCTACTATACTATTTTAGACCTACCCCGCTAGATGGCGAGTACAGCAGTCCCTCCTTATACGCGGATTTTTTATACGCGGGTTTCGGACTTACGCGGTTTGCTGTTTGAGACATTCCTCCCTTATACGCGCTTTTTGTCCTCTGTATACGCGGATCTAAGTCGAATTCGGAGCTCAATTTTTTTGCAAGACATAACCAATTTTTTTTATTGTTGACATTGAAAAATATTATTGTGCAATAAAATCAAAATCATGGCTCCAAGTGCAAAAAAACCATCAAAACCTAAATCCAGAAAAGTTTTAAACATTGCTGATAAAATTAAAATTTTAAATCTTCTCGACGACGGCGAGAAAGTCGCGGCTGTTGGAAGAAAATTTAATGTTAATGAATCCACAGTTCGAACCATACGAGATAACGCTGCCAATATTCGAAATAGCGCTGCACATTTGGGTAAACATGCTGTACTTACTAAAGTATTAACTCGTAGCATGCACTTTAAACATATATGTTCTACAGCAGCTCAAATCTACGAAGATTTATACAAAGATTATCAAAGAAAAATCAAGCAATCGCGTATAACTGACTTTTTTTCACAATAAAGTATTAAATATACGTTAATTTCATCATTTTTCTGTACATTTTTCCTAAATTTTGAGATTCCTAGGAACGCAACTCCTGAAATCCCATAAGAGCTTGGTTTCAGTATACGCGGTTTCCTCGTACGCGGTGCTTTTTTGGAACGTAACCCCCGCGTATACGGAGGGAATGCTGTACCTTAATCTGTAAATCTGCAAGTGGCAAAGTAAAAATAATTGTATAAGTCAAACAACAGTTTCAGGAGTTTTAATTAAAAATATCCATTCTTCGATGATCCATATATTTCTACAACATGGTTATGTATACGAAGATATTTTTCGGCCAACTCAAGAGCCACCTACATTCAACGCGCGTAAAGAAGATTCTCTACGAAAATATTCGAAACGTGCTGGTACTTAACGAAAAATTTTCCTCGATTGATCAAGAGTCGAGCGAGAGAGCAGCGAGTCAAACCGAGAGAGATAATCCGCGCGTCAAAGTCGTAAAAACCGAGCGCACAGCTATATGCAGCTATAAAGCGCCAAAGATCCCCTTTTCCCTTTCCCTCGCTGCTGAAGCGATAGTCGTAATGAAAACACAAAAGCTTAAAATGCGCCGCGATTGTGATTGACACGCTTTACTACCGCGGCTATCTAGGTACTGTATACACCCAAGGCAATATTAAATAGTTGGAAAGCTCGAGCAATTATTTTCCCGCGCGCCGTTTCTCTTTTGTGTATAAAGTGTATATACGTTTACGTCGCGTCTTGCAGTTATAAAGCACGCACGGTGTAAAATTGTAATACATTCTTATAACACGGAGTGTCGGGAATAACAATGCAGCTCTCCGCGCACAGTACATTCGAGTATAATAATTTCGTTCTCCGGAAGATGGAAGTGGTGGTGGGGGGGAGGAGGGAGGCAAGCATGCGTCCATGCCGGTAATTTCCTTACACCGAGATATTACAGAGTCTGAAAAATCAATATTATAAATCACGTAGCGTCGCGCGCGCGAGCTCTGTGGAACTTTCTCTCTCCCTCCTGTATTTCTCAAGTTATATTACACTACTACAAAGCAGCAATGATCGTCAATGGAATTTTATCGTATTACCGAGGACGATTACAGTACTAAAGGTGCCGCCATGTTGCTCCAGGGTGAGAGAGAGATAGCGAAAGGTAGACAGGCGCGCGCGCGCGAGAATGAAAAAAAAGGAAAAAAAATAACGTCGTCGTCGTCGTCGTGCGAGCTGTGTGCGCGGCACAAAAGTAATAAAAAAAAAGGGTAGAAGAGAGAGAGAGAAAGAGAAAAGAGAGTCAAGCGCCATCGACAATGCCTCTCTTCTTATCTCTGCTTTTGTCTGTGTAAAGGAGTGTGCAAGTGCAAGTAGCAGCGGCGGCAGCTGCAGACTAGACTCGCGCTTTTGCAGAACAATGAAAGCGTTTACACTTTTCTCACGTCGTCGTCGTCGTCGTCGTCGTCGTCGTCGACGGCTGCACAGACGCCTTTAGCCCGCGCGCATGCACCCGCCCATCCTTTCACGCCGATTCTTACGTGTATCTCTCTCTCTCTCTCTCTCTCTCCACGTGCCGCTGCCACCACTTTCTTCTTCGTCTTCGTTCTTCTTCTTCATGGCATTGTCTGATGCACCGCCGCGCGCGTCTGTATTATATGCGAGTCTCTCTGCCGCTGCCGCTCGATATAATCCAATAGTTGCCCCCCTTCGCGTGCAAATGAGTAACATATTCTTTGAACTCGAGAGAGAGAGAGAGAGACGTTAAATTTCACTAAAGAAGAAGCCTCGCAGCTATATTGCAGGAGCAGAGCTATGCTATGCTATGCGCCCGCTCGGGCTCCCGAAGCTAAAGAATCCAGAAGAGCTTTCGAAAGTTCTGCTGCATACAGCTCGCGAGCACAGTACGTATAACTACTCCTCTGCACTGTGTGTGCTCCATAATGTTTCAGAATATAAAAGATTTTATATTCATTCCATAAATTCGTTAAAGAATGACGATGAAAAATTACTTTTCTCTCTTCTACTACTCGCGTCGCTCGAATCGCTTACTCTTCGCTCGATTGAACGCCCGTGTGATTTTTAATAATCGTGCAAGTCATGCACGGCGCGCGGCGGCGCTTGCCACGCACAATTGTCGCGACGACGAACGAGTGATTCTAAGCGGCGCTCTCTCTCTCTCTCTCTTTGCTCGTTTTTCCGCTCGATCGAATATAATGTACCCCGAAAAAAAAGCGTAGGCAGCCGCAGCAGCAGCTTTCCCGAGCAGCACATTCGCGAATCGAACTTTTCCTCGCTGATCGCTATTATTCAGATTTTTTGTTCTCATCCAGTAGCAGCAGCTCTTCATTGGTTCATTTTTTGTTATAATGATCATTATATTTTAAATTCTGGTCGAAGTACGTATAAATGCTTGCGGCGCTGAACACATTGCCATTTGTCATTAATGAACTCTCTCTCACATACACTACGTGGTATGTGTTCCTTAATTTGACGACTCGATCCCCTCATTAATGCCCGGCCTCTCTCTCGTTCAGTTAATACAAGTGATCCGCTTTTTATGCATACTATATTTTTTTCACGAAGCTTAATTGATAATGAATAAAGCACACGGATGAAGCGTGTAGTTAAGATTTTATAGCTTGTGCAATTTTCCATCTCTCTCTCTCTCTCCCTCTCCCGTGCAGTATGTGTGGCCGCGTGTACTCATGCATAAAATATCTACTGCCACGCTTATATGTATTTGTTCTGTGCGCGCCAAGTAGTAGGCGCACGAGATATTTGTTCATTTTCATGACCGGTGCGCGACAGGAAAGCTCGGGGTGCACTGCTAGCTGGCTGACACTGTATACCTAGCGAGGAAGAGTTTACACGGACGCGTTTTCAAATTTTTCGGTTATATGCCATGCATATGCATAATTGACATGTATACGTGTTTTATATACATCCCAGAGTCCCGCGTACAAATATAGCGATGCATAACGTGTATAGCAGGTTATAACGTACATAGAAGGTGAACTCTATATAAATGCCTCGTGTGTGTTTGGAGTGCAACTGCAAGAGCTCTGCTCGCCGCGCATGGCGGACTCTTGCCTGCGCACATGCATTATATATAATATACGTATACGCTATACGCATATGATTAATATCGAAAATCCAGAGGAGCGAGAAACGAGGCCAGATATGTCGTT